CCGGTTCTTCGCGATCGTTATGAAAACCGACCTTCTCACGGTACCGCGCACATAGAATTTTCCGGAAAAATCGTTGGCAGTGCACGGCGCTGTTCCGCGTCCGGAATACGTCCGACGCGAAAATTTCGCGCGAGAAATATTTCGCGCTCGTACCCCGCACGTCTGCGTTTCTTTTTTATCGGTACCGTCCGCCGTAAACCGTTCGAACACGGCCGCCGTTTTTCTCGACCATTCGAAATCCGCTCGGACGGGCCCCGCGCATAAAATCCGTCGCCGGCGCCGCCGACGATACAATACCGCAACGATAATAGTATCGCACAGACGCGGACGGACGAGCGGCGAACGGCAATCTTTGGATCGGGAGCGTAATTTTTTTTTTACCGGCCGCGCGCGGTAAACAAGGCGAACGGCCGGGCCACCCGTTCGAATCGAGTTCGAGCTTATCGCGACACCATCGGCGACAAACTCCGGACCGTATAAACAATACGTTGGCGACGTATTGTTTCATTAGGTTTATAACTATTGCACCTGCGGCGTTTCGGCCGCTGTACGAGCTACCAGGCACACGGCGTACGCGCACAGGATACGGTCACGAAAATGTTAATTCCGTTCGTACATAATATAATATATTTAACGCGCAAGTGTTAAAATTATTACATTAAAAAAACTGTCGCCACTCGTGAATAACAATCGGCCGTGACAACACACACATAACGTTATTACGTGTGCGCGTAGGTATACGTTTCCAGTGGACGAAATTCGTTCTTCGATAAAAAAAAAAACGTTCGGCCGTTTATGTTGTACGTGGTTGTATTACCCGTGGTTATTTAGATTCTGATCGGAGCGAAGAATATGTATTCGCTTCGCCGGGATGTTTATTATTATTATTATTTTTTTTTTTTTTTGTGAACAATTTTTCTACCGGAAAGCTTACTCCGGCGTAGACGCTTTTCTGAAAGGAAATTTTCTCGGGGCGATACTTTACGTAGGTCGTTTTTCGATTTTCCCGGCAAATGCGAAAAACCGGGAAAAACGTAGGAAATATGGCAAAGTCAGTATAATATTAAACGGATATTGTTAAAGAAAAAAAACCTCGTTTTTTCGGTCAATGTTGCACGAATTCGAAACGATTTACTGCGTGCGGTGCGCGTGTAATTTTCAAAAATAATTACACTCGGCCTTTTCCGAAATCCTGATGCGGACCCCTGGTCCGGAACAACGTCAAGTATTCAATACATATATTTGTCGAATGCATTTTACGAGTATCATTATGCACGACTGCAATACAGTCGTCGCATTGTGTGCCGTTTCCGTTTGTTCGCGCCGAATATCTTCTCGCCGCGGGGCCGTTTTTCGTACATCGTTTTTTATTTTATTTTTTTTTTTTTTAATTCTGCAAACATTTTTTTTTTTTTTTTTTTTCGCAAACGTCGACCCCGGTCTACGGACGGTATTATTATATATTACCTATTGCACACCAGGCGTACGCGCGAATTACACTACCGGGAGGCGGTTATTATTTCGCGACGATTTTTATTGCCTTCCAGCGCGAATTCACCCCTGCGACCGAGCGTTTGTCGACCGACGAACCGTGACAAATACGGAAATAACAGACGGAGAGACAGAGAGAGAAAAAAAAAAAAAAAAAAAACGAAAAGAATTTCAAAATGTTCGCCCGTCGTTTTACGGCGTAAAACACGCTACGCAATGTTACACGCGGCAACCGCGAGTGGTTAAACAAAAAGGGCTGTTTGTGTATGATAATACCGCTGCTAACGGCACACGTCTGTTCGGGCGTTCTCGCGGTTCACACGTTCAAAACTGAACGGTCGAGATCCGAACATTTAGGCGCGTATCGGATCAATCGCCATCGGCGGCTACACCCGCGCCAGCGAACTTAACGGACGACCCGCAGTAGCGAAACATCCGTAACGCAAATTCTTTCCGCTCTCAAACACAGGTTACAGCGCATTTTTCTGCGCCGCTCGGTATCCGGTAGCCATCCGAATACCGTGATGACCATTACGAAATACTAAACGTAAAACCGACTGTTATTGACTCGAGGTTATCCGTCAGATCTGCAGTTCGCGCGGGTAGGTCAGTTGAAAAGTCGGATTTTCATAAAACGAAAAATATCGTATTTTCATTCGCCGCAGTCCGGTCAAACGGACCATACACATATAGTATTCGAGTAGTAGAAATCCAAAAGAAACGTGAAATTCTTGAGACCGCCGCAGTTTTCCGCTGTTCCTGAACAGTTTGACGAAAATCGGCTCGCTGAGGCGCACAGTAAACCTATATTTTAATTACTTTACACTGGTCGAAAAGTCGGACACACTTCGTGCTCCGGGCGCGCGCGAAAAAGGTTTTTAATCACCGAATCGTGGAAAATGAGTTGTTCGCACAAAATGAGTTCGGAATCCAATCAATTAAATTTTTCGCGTAGCATCAGTCAAGCCAATTTTTCCAATAGTAAACGTGTTATTTCAATGTACATTTTAGGATGAGCCGTGATTTTTCGCGCGTTTTAAGTCAGACGCAGCACTGCAGCAACTCAAATAACGTAACGCAAATGAATTAAAATCGACACGTATTAATAATTATGTTTCCGGAATCTTAGTGCGAATCAAGTCGAGCCACTGAAAAAATTATTCGATTCAATGCGCGTAACAAATGAAATAACTTTTTATTAAATTAAAAAAAAAAAAAAACAAACATTCGAGTTTCGAAAATTGAAATACAGAAACTATTATGTTAAACAATACATTATTGAGCGTTATCTAAATAAATTGTCTAGAGATGAATGATTAATTATCTTTTATCTGATCTAGATAATCAACAAAAGTGTGAAAATCCGACGGATTATCTTAGATGAAAAACTATGTTTCTAACTTAATCCGTCTGGGTTTGGTATATATTTGTTTTGTTTGAAAAATCTAATGGAACAGAATTGAAAATATACACTAATAACTGTCCGTGTTGCTAAGAAGGTTATAGCCCCTGAAATCTCCTCTAACACCCCCTCAACAATTCTCACGGTTTCTCTGAAAATGAACACGCAGTAATAAAAGGTTTTCTAGTTACACTATTTTTTTTTCTGAGAAAATGTTCAAGTGCGGTTTAGCCCCCTTAGCCCCCCCCCGTCACGCATCCTACGCCTACGAACGACACGCACAACGACACAATAATTTCGCAGCACTTACACTATGACGAAATTTCAAAACACCGATCGCGCTATATCAATAAATTACATATTTGCTCTGCTGTTTTGAAACATTGACATTTTCATTGACCGTTTTCACGCTAACCCGCGAATTATCGTACGCGGTTTTCGGCGGTACTCTGTGCGGATTTTACCAGAAAATACGAGAACCGTTCGAAAACACATTAAAATTGTTATCATATTACAATATTGTTGTTGTTTTTTTTTTTTTTCTACACGAGTAAATCTAACGTCGTTTTGCCGCGGCATTTGTTTGTTTCCAGGTTCGTTGTCGAGCATCGGCATGGGCGTCGGATCGAACCCGCTCGAGTGGACGGGACAGGTGACCGTGCGGAAGAAGAGAAAACCGTACTCGAAGTTCCAGACGCTGGAGTTGGAGAAAGAGTTCCTGTTCAACGCGTACGTGTCCAAGCAGAAGCGCTGGGAACTGGCCCGGAACCTGGCACTGTCCGAACGCCAGGTGAAAATATGGTTCCAGAACAGGCGCATGAAGAACAAGAAAAACAGCCAGCGGCAAGCCGTGCAACAGCAACAGCAACAGCAGCAGCAGCAGCAGAACCAGCAGACCAACAACAACAACAACAACAACAGCAACGGTAGCGCCAACGCCAATCACCAGCATCACATGCAGGTGATCGGCGGTCACCACGGTAACGGGCCTATCAAACACCATCAGTGACCATCGCATTACTCTGGAGCCGCCGCCGCGGCCGCCGCCCAGCCGCCGTTACACCATCACGACGTCCATCACCATCAGGTCCAACCGCCGTTGCATCCGCCGCCTCACCATTTCCATCACCACTATCCGATGCAGTCCGTTTGAGAGATTCCGGTAACCGTATAACAATACTGCAATCACCACACACACACATATTGTACGCGAACGAAAAATAAATAAATACTTTTTTTGGAAACGGCGTTGCCGATTTTCGCGCGTTATTATCGTACGTACGGCAATGATAATAGAGCGCGTAAAACGGTTCGACCCGCGTATCAATAGCATTGCGTAAAACGATATAGTTTTTTTTTTTTTCATAGTTCACGGAGATAAAAACGATTTAAAAATATAACAATAATAACGTACGCGTAGAATTTGTAAAATCGGGATTTTTTTTTTTTTTTTGGTTTTTTTTTTTGTTTTCCGTTATTTTCAAAAAAAAAAAAAATGTATTTCTGTATTGCTCAAACGAATCGAAACCGGATTAGGCGGACGGTTTCTTTTTTGTTGAAAAAAAAAACATTCCAAAAACGGCGGAAAACTGCGCGGTGACGCGATACGGCGAGAACAATCGATAATATTATTATTGCGCATTGCGTACTGCGTATTGCGTACTGCGGTGCTCATTGTACGCGCGAAACGTAAATCGGCGGGTACCCAAATGATGACAATAATAATATTACGATACGGCTCCAGAGTGGCGAACATACCAATAATAAAATATTATAAATATTTCAAACGTGTACATATACAAAATATTATTTTAAGTTACTATTTTATACTATTAGGTTTAATCTTGACAAAAAAAAACAAAAAAAAAAAAAAAAAAAAAAAA